CATAACTGCCACTAGCTCCAAAAGAAATTGTGCTGCTCTTGAAATTCAGTGTACCAGTATAACTAATCTTCTTTTTGTGCTTCATTAAATATATCTGATTTAGTAGCCATATCTTGGGACACTCTTTGTACGTTCTTATGCTTCCGCTGTTTCTGAAAAGCATGTGGAAAGTTTCATACAGTTTGAAATGCCTACTTTTATGAAACTTTGGTACTGTGTAATTCCCCAAAAACATAGTAGGAAGCAAGGATGAAAATATTGGCCGTGCAGATAATATCGTGCCTCCAATTTACGGATATTTCGGAGGATATATTGATATCGTTTCAAGTATCGTGAAAAGATTGACAAAAAAGATAGATATTGGCATTAAAACACAGAAGTTTGGAGTAAAGCTTTCATAGACGTTAAGTACAACCCATTAACACACCAAAGGCCTATTATTTTAATTATTATACATAAAATATTGAAACATATGAAATATACAAAAATAGATGTAAAATTTGAAATTAATTAATTGATTTCTGGGCTTATTTTTGCTGATTTTCTAAGTAGTTTTAGGCACAAGGATATTATGAGTTTGTTTGGGCTTTCCTTAAAAAAAAAGGAGTTTGTTTGGGCTCAGCCCAAGGTTAAAGTTAGTATCTTAATATATTAAAGAGTTTCTGAGGCATCATCTTCTTCGTCACTCCTCTGTTTTCCTGTCTTCTTTTTCATTCCAAAACCACCGGACTTGAGTTCAAAATCACCAGATTTAGTTCAAAACCATTCAAAAAATGGCTCCAGAGGCGTAAGCCTCTTTCGATTTAGCGCGAAATCATGCATTCGCGTATGCCTCGACAATGCGCAAGTATCAGGGAAATGTTGGCAAATATTGGAAAATATAGAAGATATTGCAAGTATCGGAGATATATTGCCTAAGGGGGGAAGAAATAGACTTACCCCCTATATTGATGTCGACACTTGAAAATAGCGATATATCGGTGTATCGGCCGATAGGAAGTCATTTCTATTGGACTATGAGTAGTGTGATTGTATTGCCATATTTGATGCTAGTGCGAGAAAGCAGAGTTACTTCTATTCATCTTTGTCCGGTTGATGAAATTATGGTACTCAAACATTGAAGTCAATTCCCGGTAAAGCAGTACAGATTGTTAGTTGTCCAAACATGTGGCATGGCCCTATTATTATCAGATGTTAAGTAGATTCCATGAATAGGAACATGAACAATCTTGAGAGAAGATATTGCAAATGATTAGAATCATGATATTTCTGCAAATAAGAAGGGTAGTTCATGAGTGTTGGGTGAAGTGTATAGATGCAAATATGTAGTATGAAGTATGTCATTGAACCTTTTGCTTTTAAACCCCCTAACCAAAGCAATATGCGGTCAAGTGCATCAAAGAAAAGCTCAGTTGTGTTTGAAAATATACAACCAAAAAAAAATGCATGGAGTGTTTAAACATTAATTTATCAGCATGAAATCTTACTTGATGTACAAAGTTCTTGCTTGAATGGTAAAGTCGGTTGCTGATGCCACTATACTGTGTTTGTTTTTGCAGGAATTTGGGCTAATTGACAAGAAGGAGCTAGCTCCACTTCAAGAGCTTATAGAATCCATCATTGTTCCTTACTAAACAGGGTTTGCATATCCCATGGGATGCATATTTAAATTAAATGTACTCATCTTCACAGTATCCAATGTTGTGTGCTATAAATACTTTTTGTGCATATGATGTGTGCCTTGGATTTGAAATATTTGCTCTCTACTAATTTATATGGGATTTGAAATACTGTGTAAAGCAATTGGGCAGCCCTTGTTCTTTGTATGAGCGGCTAAGCTAATTTGGCTGAAGTGCAATGTGGGTTTATCATATGGAAGTGCAATCAGCCGAAACTTTGCCCAGCTGGTTTATCATATGAAAATGCAATATGGGTGCTGCATTTGATTTTGTTGGTTTTATGTAAAATAGTAGTAGCTCATTCTCTCAAGTTTGAAACTGGTTTGGAAATAAATTCTAAATTCTAGATTGTTTGAAGCGATATGCGGTTTTAATCAGTTTTGTTTGAATCGCCTAGAGTAGCCTTCGGAATTGTAGTATTATATGCAGTTTTAGGGTCATTGAAATTCGCAAGTTATGAGTCACTTAGGCAGGACTTAGAAAATTTATATGCTTTGTTGCAATTTCCCATATGAACGGAAACAAAATGTTTGAGTAAATTTGCTACTTCAATTAAGATTTTGTTATAACGTGCCATCTATTTTTTTTGGTCGAATAATGTGCCATCTATTCGAAAAAGGCTGTGTGATTTGCATGTCTCTGTTGGAAGATATTTTAACGTTCAAAATATTGATACACATGCATTGAAAGGATATCGTGCACATGCAACTTTTTGAACATTAAAATGAACATGGTTAGTGAAAGGTGATAGATTATAAGGGTTTTAACTCAAATGGTTCCAAATCTATACACAATTTGCATTTTAGTCTCTCAATTAAATTATTCGTTCAAGGGGTCGTATTGAGAGACCATGACTCATTGGAGTTCATGAACATGGTTAGTGAAAGGTGATAGTCATGAGCAGCCAAAATTATCGAAATCTCGAAAATCTCCCAAATCCCCAAATACGAATCCTAACCCAAAATCTCTAATGTTGCATTCGAACCTCTCATGTTGCTGTCAAAGCCCCTTGAGCTATGAAAAAGAGGCATATACCCTTCCTATACACATATGTTCTGTTCACATGACTAAAGCTCAGAAAATGTAATGGTGGGACCAATTTGCCGAATAATAAACAGTATGTGGACCATTTAAATAAATAATTTAGTTGGGGACCATTTGAGTTAAAAACCCTAGATTATAAGAAATGTTTTAATTCCTCTCCCAAAAAAAAAAAAAAAAAAAAAAGGAAGAAGAAAAGTTTTAATTAAGGTGGCAAATTATTGGTTTATATTTATTTATAAATATAACTTTGTCTTTTCGAAAAATTTGTAATATGGTTGTTCACCCCAAAAAGCGTGCAAATGTATTTTCTAGTACTGGTGTATTGGTTCTAAGCACAGTACAAAATTTTGATATTTTCGCTGAAATATCGGCGAAAATATCATTTTTTTGGGGCTCCGAAATTTTAGCACACTTCCAAGTATATATCGTCATTTTATCGATAATTTCGAGGATATTTCAGGGAAGATATTTTCGTCAACTTCGCAGTTTAAATGGTCATAATATCGCGACTTGAACTGTGTCAAAAATGAAACAATTTAAACTCAGAGCATTGTTGGGTCCGAACCTTTCCCAAGTTGGAATTTTTGCAACCACTTAACCACCACGCTGGCATTCACTTTGTGGAATAAGCTATAGAATATGTATTTATAATACATGCGAGCTGTTTCTCAAAATAGAAATTAACATAATTACTTATTGTTTTATATTGTTAATCAGTTACTTAATTACTTAATATAATTTATTTCTTTTCTATTTAATCCATTTAATGTTATTGATTATTTTATTATTCATTATAAGTACTTACTTTACTAAATTCCCCTTCAAATTGTTGCTTAATTACTTAAATCTCTATCATTATTTTCTTTGCTTACTACTTAATTCTTCCTTTGATAAATTTATTTATGTTCTTAGTTAATTTTCAATCTTCACTATTATTTTTTAAGTTGTTTACAACTTAATTCTTCCTTTGATAAATTTATTTATGTTCTTAGTTAATTTTCAATCTTCACTATTATTTTTTAAGTATGGTAAAGTGCCTAATTTTCATGAAAAGTCAAGTTGGTTTAATTATTTTTCAATTTTTGATAAATAATAAATATAAGAACGTGTACCATGTCTAATGAATAATGTGAAATAAGGTTACACATATATCTTACCATGTAATTTATAAAGTGTAAAAGATTTTACTAAAAAATGATAAATAAATTACTATGAGGTGTTTAATTCTCTTCATTAATTACTCCATATTTTCTAAGTCATAGAGTTTGTCAGCTCGTAATATAATCAACTTAAATCACTCAAACCCACTATGCAATGCATTTCCTTCCAATTTTTTTGTGTCAAAATAATAGATGATTGACTAAATAAACTTCTTCTAAAGTTTCATTAAAAATTTCCATGTATTTATCACAATTTCCGTGGTTTTTATCCAATTTTTATCGATATCGATATTTTCCCGATATTTCCATCGATATTTCCGTGTTTTTAAACCACCGATATTTCCGAAACTATCGATATTTAAGACCTTGGTTCTAAGTTATTTCGGGCCTAGATTGACTGAAATATGTTAATTGGCTTAATTATAGGCATGCCATTTATTGGTACTAAAAGGCCTAATAAAAAAGTGTTTATTAGATAAAAAATAGATTGGATGTCTTGAGCGTTAAGAAACTTATTTTCAAGTCATTGTGCTCCAAGGCCCCGTTTGGTTTACGGAATAAATTTGAGGGGAAATCATTTCCATGTCATTTCTCAAGCGATGGGAAATGGAAGATTCTTTTCCCACGTTTGGTAATGCTGGGAAAGTAACTGGGAGATAACATTTTATTTCATTTCCCATGTTTGTTTTGAGTAAGAATGGAAAATAAAGTTTGTATAAATTTTCAATTATACCCATATTAAATTAAATTAAAAAAAGAATGCATTTAATGATATATTGTAAAACTAAATTGTTAATGGGGACAAAATTGTCATGAAAAATGTTTATTTAATGTTGGTTCATTTCCCCAAATTTTTCCATCATGAGGGAAAACAAAACTCAAGTTGGAAGGATGATTTCACCTTTCCTCCTACTTTCTCTGGACTTACCAAACATGGAAAAGTAATTGATTTTCCATCCCCAAGTCTCCTTTGCCATGAACCAAACAGAGCCCAAATGGGGACTTGGCCTGGATTGATTCTTTTTATATTTGGTTAATTAAGGACTTCAATATTCCACTTGTGTGATGGGAAGCTCAACGAAACAAAGTGATAGAGCTATAATCAGCATGAATGACCTTCTTTTAATGGTAGTAAAATTGGGTCCAAATGGACGTTACAAACTAAGATAACAAGTGAAACAAATCCGATCAGATTGAAATACAAGTAAAAGAGAAGCAAAATGACTAAGCCAAGCTCGAATTGGACTTACCTAAACTAAAAATGCAATAGAACTTTAGATAATCATAGTTTGAACTGAATGTCAACTAGAAATCATACCAACCCAAAGAAGAAGCAGAGCAAACGAACAAAAAATTTCTTAGAAGTTGTCGACTGGAAATGAAGAAGTGAAAGCAAGAAGGTTGTTGAGAAACTAGAAATCAAGTTGATCAAATCTGTTTGAGAGAAACTGTATCTCTTGCTTCCTCCTTGCTTTTCTGTGGCCAATCTTTAATTTATCTCTTTTTGAAGCTATGGAATTTGCCCGAGTCAATTTTGGCCCAAACTAAGAGAAACATGACTTTGAACAAAGGCCTCTACATTATTTGACAAAAATTTCCATTTGTATCTTTGATGTTATGAATGCCAAACTCTACATCCACATATTTGATGACCCTCAAACTCCAAATCCATGTTTGAGCTTTTCCCTCCCGTAAGCATTAGTTTTTTTTCTTTTTTTTCCGCAGATATTCATTAGAAACCTGTAAAATCACATAAGTAATTTTGTCAGCACTGGTTGCATGCAGATTTGAAGACAAACAGTGAAATAGTTTTACCTAAAAATTAATTCAAACGTTTCTTGATGGTTTTCCCTTGAGTTCCAATCTTTCTTAAACTTTCTCCAAAAAGAAAACATCATCATGCTAGAACAGTGCCATTTTATTTACCCCCCCAAAAAAAAAAAAAAAAAAAAAAAGGTTTCATCTAATGAGAAATCTTGCTACCTCAGGAATGCTTTTCATCCCTTTTTGAGGTTTCATCAAAAGAGAAATCTTGCTACCTCAGGAATGCTTTTCATCCCTTTTTGTTTTTGGGTTATTTCAACTTATTCCACTGCCAACATTGCAACAAAAATATATACAACAAGGATAAGCTAGCGTACCCCTATTTCGATCTTCAACCAATACATCTTATACTGCACGCAAGCTCCTTGGATCTGAATGGCCAAATCTTGAAGCAACAAAACCATATCCTCCCACAACTGCAATAAGTACACCAAGAACCAGGACAAAGAACTGGAAGTTTGCAAGCAACTCACCCCGGACCTCATTGTCCACAGAATGACATGAGATCATATCATCCTTAAGCTGACAACCATCTGGCATCATGGGGCCATAGAGAGTGAATGCAGTCTGATAAAACCAGAGGCCTTGTAGAGTCATGGCAATACCGCTACATAAATCAATTGGAAAGCTGGTTGGTAAGAGGGCTCCAGCAACAGTCGATAATATGCAGAGCCCAATTAGAAGGACAAGGAGGATGTGGTAATAACCCTCGAGGCCTTTATGAGTTGTTGAGTGAAAGTAGAACAGAAGATACTCTGCACAGAATGCTGTGGCAGCAATCAGACAAAGAGCTCCTTCAGGCAATGGAAGAAATCTAAATGCAAGAAATTAAAAGAAAAAAAGAATTAGACATACTTACAAGGTTATCACATACACAACAGGCCAACAAAAAGAAAAAATACAGAGGTTATTCCTTAGATGAAGTGATGGATAAATAAATTAGCACTTAATTAACAATTAGGGGTTATGATCGGATGAGTACTGTAATATTGTTGAAGCACCCATAACAATGCGAAAATAGCTTTCACCACCTATCCATGTTTAACTGTAGTCTCTAATGTTAAAATTCCAACTACAAATCAAATAAGAAAAGGAAATCCAACAACAAATGGCTTAAGGCCTATGCGGCAATGAGAACATCCTGAACCATCTAATGAGGTGTTTAAACTACCTGAATCCTATATACTGTGCAGCAATAAATGAACTGAGTCAGAGGAGAAGATTGATGAAGTTGCTGCCGCCATCTCATAATTTAATCAGTTTTCATAAGGACTTGGATCCTATTATTTTATAAAATTAGTTTCACAACTAATTCTGAGATATTTTTGCAGAAATGGATTTAATCTGCATTCTGCAGGCTGCTGCAAATTATCATGGACTTCGGTTCTATTGGGCTTCTTCAGGTCCTGCTCAATAGGCATGAGCTCATAGAAACTCAGAATTGGAGGTGCCTTAAACCTTAGTATTCCAAGACTGGAACTTCGTATAATGTTCCCACAAGAAAATTGGATCATGGAAAGAAAGACAGAAGTTGCACAAGCACTAACATTTTGATGCCCTAACCCGCAACCCTATTCTACTTCTCTTTGCTCTTTTTGCTAGATGAACTACCAGACTAGATCATTGACATCCCATCAATGCTTTTATTTTGAGTTTACTAGGACAAGTAGATTATTCAAATGGTCAGAATCATTGTTATTTCATCTTCAACACGCAAGGGCTTGACAGGTACTGGTGACATGTGACATGAATGTCAACTTGGGTAGGAAAAACAGGAGTAAGAGCCCTTACCTCGCCTATCAAAGGGAGGAACTTAAACAGTAGCAAAGGCAATGTTAGGAGGACCAGACCATAAATTTCAGATGGTTCAGAAAATGGCTCAAAATTCTGAGCATAAGAGCTAGTCCCCTGAAGTTTGGGACCATGCTGCCTTCTTCCACCACCTGCTGAGGTGGTGTCACCACTTTCTGACCTCTAGAGGGGAGGTGGAGGTTCAAATGCATTGTCATTGAAGACTCCTCCAAAGGACAATTGACTTCTTTTCTATAGCAACCCAAAAAAACAAGAAGGGTTTTTGGTTGATGTGTGGCATCTAGAAACTACTGTGTTTCAGCAAAAGGGAAGGCATCAGGGGGTTTCACAAGTCAGCAGGCCTGGCTCAAAATTGGAAGTGGAAGAAGCCCCTCCAACGTCAGCATGCACATGTACAAAATGGGTAGCACCAGGTTGTATGGGCTGCGAAGGAGTCAATCTGTCATCTTGAGAGCTGATAAAAGTTCAAACAATTATCTACTCTTCCTCCATGGTCAAACAATGGAGCTGGTTGGAAGTTTGCTCCTCCATGACTAGAGCTGACTTGAGTAGGACATAAATGTATACCTCTCAGCTGACTTGTTTAGTGCCTAGGTTTCGTAAATGTAGGGGCCCTACCAGATATTTCTTGGGCTAAGGAATTAAGGGAAATCTACTGCAGGGTTCAAAGGTTTTAGGGGAGGAAGGGAAGTGGTGATGGGGAGAGGGTGTGCTGTTTGAAAGGAGGGTCTTGCTGACATCCATTTGCTTCCGGTCACATTACAAAGATTGCGGACATACAATATTTTAGGTTATAACAGAACAGAAATAAAATAACAGATTGCAATTTCATTGACTCTTAAAAACTGGGTTAACTAATACCAAACACTCTGCACAACAAGCCAAACTGTTGAGTTTCCCAGAACAGAGCGAAAGCCCAAGTTTTACTGATGTCCTAAATGAGGAAATTATAAATTTGTTATCTTCTTAGTTTCAGTATACAGATTCACTAGAAACCAGTAATAATCATGAGAATAATGTCAAACCAATATCAACACGATAATAAAACCACTAAATGAAAACAACCTAGAGACAAAAAACAGATGATGCAGATGGAGAATGCCTGAAGGAAGCTTAGGCCGAACTCAATGTAAACCACCCCATGCCCTATTCACTTGCACTGGATTCTGGAATATATAGTTGCAAATTATTATTCCCACCTAATATACACCAGGTGACACAGCCATCTACATGTGCAAGTACTATTATTTCAACAGTTTTGCTTAGTAAGTTTCTATAATTATAATCAATTAAAATTTTAACACTGCTAAAGAAACAGAGGAAACACAGATACACTTGCCTCCAACCTGAAACAAAAAAAGAAAAAAAAAAAGTTTTTGAATGTGTGCCATTTTTGTTAATTTGTTTTTGGTGCAGTGAAAACATCCACTTGAGTAAATAGAAGTAATGCTCTCAATTGACTGAAACATTTACTTCATCAGTCTCAAGCAGTGATTTAATAGCCGCGCCTTTCAATGCAAGGCTCTGGATCAAACGCCTCGTTTTACGCCTTAAGGAAAAACACTGGTCTCAAGTACTAAAGATCTAACAGTCCATAATTTTATCTCTTTCCGTATCCCATAACTTTCCCAAGAATCAAACAGATTGTTACACAGCATGACATAAAAGACAATGAAAAAGGAAATTAACATGATGAATCAATTGACTACAAGCATACCTTGTCTTCTCTGACAGCAGACTGACAACGCCAAAGATAAAGAACATAAGAAGCATTCCAGAGTGCTCAAAATCATTCATGTGAGAAGGGTTCAAGACTCCATTGACAAAGAACTTGAGATGGGTCGAATACAAAAGCTCGATACACATATCAATGAAAGTACCAATAGCTATAATATAAAGCTCCAAATACTTGAGCCTCCCATCAAAACCCGGCACAGGACTCCATACCCGAACTCGGAAGGACTTGGGGTTGGATACATATCTCACCAACGAGCTCCATACGTGCCATACCCCAACTACAAAAAACAACGTCCCTGGCAGAGCATGACCTGGGAAAGAACCCATCTTGCCTGATATATTATCTGCAACTCCTTTGTCTTCTTCAACAAAACCAGTTCATTCCCTTTCAAGGGGAGACACTTTGAGGGTCGTACTTCGAATTTCTTTTTCTTTTTTTCAGTTGAAAGTTGTGGCTGCCTTTTGGGTGTCTTGCTTTGAATGAATTTGCTTCTTCTAGAAAAAAGACTTTGATTAGAAAATTTATGCGAGTATTTGTCAATTACCATTCATGAAATTTCCAAATACGGCTACTTTTGAGTTTCTAAAGTCTCATTTGATGAAAAGAAGAAGAGGAACCATTCTTGAAAGCCAAGCTCTTTCTTAGTACTTGAAAGTTAGACCAAAAACAAAAGAAAAAAGAAAAAGTCTCACCAGAAAGTCAAAGTTGAACAGCTGATAAATAAATAAATCCCCCAATTAAACAAGATTGTTTGAAGAAAAAGATTGTGAAAAAAGAGTAGAAATTTACCCAACAGCTCAAGACAGCCTAGAAACAAAAACCCAGGCTTTTACACATGTAAAACTGCATCGATTCACAATTCACAAAACCAGCTTCTTTCTTTTCCCAAAGAAAGTGGTAGAGAGAGAGATATATATATATATATAAATATATTTATTATGATTATTATTGAGTGGAATTATTTGAAGAAATTAGTGTTACAAAGTAATTGATTAGCATGTAAAGAGCAATCATCGTGATATTAAATAGAAAAAGGAAATTAATAATTCAAATCGACGTACTTGCAATACTAATAAGCGTATGATTGATCAAAGCCTTGTCTTCTTTTTTTCAGACCCAAAAAGCCACAAAGACCGAGAGGAGAGAGAGAGAGAGAGAAGTGTAAAGGGGGGCTGGCTGGCTGTGTCTCTTGTGAATGTGATGATGATGATGGTGATGATGATCCGTGAGACCGATGGCTGAAAACACAAAAAGGCAAAAGAGACGGAGATAGTTAAAGGGAATTGTTTTCACGTGTGTCCTTCGTGCGCCTACATCGATGTCTCCCATAACGTGGTAGGCCCATCCTAGATCTACACCGTCGGGTCATTTTCTTCTTACAGTTTGTTTCCCATTTCATCACCGTGTCAAGCCTAGATGGTAAATTCATAGAAGGCTTTTCATCAAAAAGCATCTATGAGCTTCTTGTTACTTTTCGTTCTTAACATTTTTTTGTGACATTAATGGTTTTAAGGTTAAGTTTTGCACATTAAAATGGTCCTTGTCATCACCTACTATTTAAAATATCGTTAAAAATAGTCACGTGCTATTTTTAAGGGTCATTTTCGATCTAACCCATGATTTAGGGCAATGTCTATAGTGCATCAAGTATACTGATACACCCAGTTTTAAAAAAAACATGGGTACCAATTATACAAGTTATCAAGCTTCCACCTTTTGTTAATATTTAATGTAAATGCAATTGCATAAGGGTCATGCAATTACGACCTCCCTATTTGGCAATTGGCATAAGATTTGACATGTTATTTTTCAATTGAATTTATTTTAGGTTTATTTACTGCAGTATCCCCTGAAACTTTGGTTAATTCTCAGTTTGCCATTCGAAAGTTAAAATGGCCCACTTAACTCCCTTGACCATGATTTGGTGTTCCACTTTACTCCCTACCATCAACTTCATCCAAAATTCTATTAAAATTGCTACGTAGCAAGGGTATTTTAGTCATTCCAAACACATGAGTTATTTACCCACTAATATGATAAGGCAAAGTGGATCACACATCCACCATGGACCAAAAAAACTAATAAAAAATTTCTTTACCTTTAAAAAATCAAAAAATCAACTACACACCATAATTACACAATAAAAAAACTTAAATAACCAATTACCTAACCTCTCTCTATCTTCTTTTCTTTCTCCTTTACTTTGCCACACGCTTCGTGCTCGGTGGATGTGATGGGACAGATTGGTCTTGAAGTGGAATTCTTGTTTTTTGGTGTCTTTGGATTTTGAAGGTCTTTAAGTGTAGTTTATTTGGTTTTCTTCTTGATTTGCAATTTACAAAAAAGGTTCTAAAAATGCTTTGTTCTAGCCAACTGGTAGGACAAGAGTTGGGGATATGAAGTTTGATGTGGGTAGTGGTGGCCAAGTTCTAGATCGAGGCACTGCAATGAAAGATGGGATTTTGGGTGGTTAATTTGTGGTGGTGGTGTTGGTGTTGTGGTTGAAAAGTTGGATATGAAGAAGATGATTGAAGAGCTTGAGGCCATTGAGATGGGTTAACCTTCATCGATGATGCGGCACGTGGGGCACTCATAGAGCTCGTGGCTCGCACTCGCTGCCTAGAGGAGGACGCCGACGAGCTTCTTTGTCTTGGATCAAGCTCGGCTAAATCTTTCTTGAATAAGTGTGCCTTGTCGGCTAGAAATGGAGAAAGAGAAAGACGAGAAGATAGAAGCAGTCGGGGAGGGGCTGGAGTTAGGGATGGGAAAGCGGCTAGGGTTGGGTTGGTGCTGCTGAGGGAGGTTGGGAAATTTATTTTGTAATTTTGTAATTATGTAATTGATATTTTATATTTTATATTTTGTAAAGGCAAATTAATTTTTTATTAGTTTTTTTTTGTCCATGTTGGATGTGGGATCCACTTTGCCTTATCAGATTGATGAGTAAATAACCCATTTGTTGAAAATGACTAAAATACCTTGCCATGTCATTAATTTTAACAAAATTTTGAATGGAGTTAACGGTAAGGGGTAAAGTGGAACACAAAACCATGGTCAAGGGGGTTAAGTGGGTCACTTTAACTTTCAGGGGGGAAATGAGATTTGACCAAAGTTTCAGGGGGTACTATAGTAAATAAGCCTTTATTCTATTTGACTCACGATGACATGCTTATAAATTTCGCAATGACATTTGTTAACTTTTATAAATCTAAAGTTACCGATTTAGACTATCTTTTTTTTTTTTTTTTAATGAGAATCATTTTAGACTCTTTGTTTTTTATTTTATTTTTTTCTTGATTTCTATCCTTCACCTCATTGTAGCTTTGCTCAATTTCATCATGATAGTTGATGGTTTTATTTATATAAATTCTGATGGCTATTCCTCTGTATTTTATATTTAGTTTTTAAAAATCAATTTAGGCTGATAGTTTTAATTTTTGTTTCTTGTGTTTTTGTAGAATTGGTGAACGTACACCAATATTTATTTGAGAGCTTGGAAGTATTTATCCATTTGTAAAGGTCTTTTGTTCCAGCAGCTTGACGAATGGACTTGGGCTGCTGTAAGGGGAAGGCGAACAAAATTTCCCCTGTACCTGAGTTCAAGAACCAGGCTCCAAAAGAGTTTTGAAAAGTTTGCTTAAACCTTAGAAAACACTTTGGATCCTTTTCATCAGTAAGCCGAATGAATATGAAAAATTTATAATATGGCTTGCTTAAGGAGCCTGCAACATGGGAGCTAGAACTTCACGAGTTTAGCAATTGAGAAAAAAAAACAGCTTGAATTTCTTACATAAACAAAGGCTCAGAGTAGGGGAGGAAGTAAACTAGGGAGGTTTTGCCTAGAGAAGAGGGAATGAGATGGGAATGGAGAGTGGGGCGGCTTGAGTGAATTTCCAGTTGCTTGACAAAGCTTGGTCGCACTCTGGATGATGCCTTTGCTGGGTAAAAGAAGCCTCCTTTTATAAGCACTTCGACCCCTTAATTTTATCAGACCTCTTCCTTGCTTTTCACTCACTTTCTTCCATTCACTCTTATTTGGTGAACTTCCCATACGCAGCGTGCATAGGTAACAAGCCCTTTGGGGTTCCAAGATTTTTACACAGCTGGACCTCCTCATGTGGGTGAGGCACCACCCGCTTTTCTTCTTGGTTTTCCTATTAGAGCTTGCAGAGGAAATGAGAATGGATAGAGCTTTTGCCTAATGGGTATGCTTCCCCCATGTACGAATTCCCTTTGGTTTTTGCGATGGCTTCATGTTGACTTTGCTATGAAGCTTTGGCAAGGGCTGAACACAATGCTAAATATTTTATTAGGTATTGCGCTGGGCTTTTCCTAAGGTATTTGGTCATTGGCATCTTGTTTCCAATAGTTAGCTAAGTCTTTCATGGTTTCGTCAAGCTATTGGAAGTAGCTTATATTCTCTTCTTTTGACGAGATGCTGAGTGTCTTAGTTGATGAGAGGTTTTCTTAAACGTTGTAGACCACTATATACTTTCTTAAGTTGCCAGGTCACGTTTTTCTTTTTCTCTATTGCTTACCCACATGCTTAGGCCCAAGAAATGGGCTTGAGTTTTGGCGCTCCCAAGCAGCCCAAAACTTTCATCCCTTGAACTTGCAATGGGTCTCATGAGGGCTCGTACCCATCTATACCACAACCTTCTCAGCAAGCCCCAGATTTTACGTGGCTTGGGCCCACCTGGGCCTGTAGTGTAGCTTGGTATTTATAGTAGTGATCCTTTCGCCTGTCATTGCGTGTTTATTTGGCATGTTTGAACTCCAGGGTATGGCAATAGGTTGTGACAGAGCTAAATAGTATGTTAATAGGTCAATGAACGTGGGCTTACAGAGCCGGTACGTTTTTACTAGCTCGTTGTTGACCCTTCTGCATGGCGGGTTTGCGTGTTTACTTGGCATGGCATGTGACCCATGATTTATACGGGTGTATATGACAAATTCTCACCCATTGGGCTTTTTTCTTGCTTAAATATTGTGCTGGGCTAAAATTAAGCTTGGTCCCAGCCTTGGATTTTTAGGCCTTAACATTAGCCTCCTTGATTATTGAGGCCATGAATAGGTGCTAATATGGGCCAAATAATCAAACCCATCCCAATAATTAAATCCACATTGGTGATATGACCTTCTCGCTTCCGGCGTGTGACAGCGCCATAATCACCTTCTAGCAGCTTTTTACGGTTCCCACGTAGGTATTTGAAAAAAAAAAAAACTTTTATGTTCTTCGCTCTTCTTCACTCTTTTCACTTCCTATGCGTGCAAACCCAAGCCTTTCACCTTTGGAGATGCGAAGGCGTCAAGGGCACCATATGCAACTGCTGGCTAGTTACCTCGTATCCTCACCCCTCCAGCCCTTTTAAAATCCCCTCCAAATTTCTCATTTTCCTTAGATTTACCCCAAGGCCAGGCTTGAGGAGACACCTTCGCGAGGTGCGGCATAACTTGGGAAGAAATTTGCAGGGTAGCAAGCCCAATTTCCCTCTCCTTTCTCTTGATTTGGCAAGCTGCTGGAAAGGACGCAAGCGGGAGTGGTGGTAAGCATC